CCTGAGTGCTGGGATTAAAGGCATGTGTCACTGCCACCAAACTGAAAATATTTTTAACATTTATTTTATATGTATGTGTGCACCTAACTGCATGTATGTGTACCACATATATGCTGAAGCCTCAGAGGCCAGAAGAGGCACTGGATCTCCTACAAGTGACATTGTGGACGTTTGTGAGCCACCATATGGGTGCTAGAAACTGAACCGTACCTTCTTCAAGAGGAATAAGTACTTTAAAAAAAAGTACTGAGTCTTCTTCCCACACACACATAATTAAATTTGTTTCACTTAAATAAAACAAGTAACTTCCTTCAGACTGAGGGTGTGGCTCAGGTAGTAGGATTTTAGCCCAGTCAGGCACAAAGCCCTGGGTTCCATTCTCAGCACCACAAACTTTTGACTACTCCTGTATGCCCATAATCCTACACTAGGGAGGTAGAGAGTCAAAATGATCAGAATTTCAAGAGCTCCATAGAGAATACAAGGCCAGCCAGGAACACAGGAAAACCTGCCCCCTGCAAAAAAAAAAAAAAAAAAAAAAAATACCCCAGTAGTGGTGGCACACACTTTTAATCCCAACACTCAGGAGGCAGAGGCAGGAGGATCTCTGTGAGTTTGAGGCCAGTCTGGCCTATAAAGTGAGTTCCAAAACCCAATCTCAAACCTCCTAAGAGAGAGAGAGAGAGAGAGAGAGAGAGAGAGAGAGAGAGAGAGAGAGAGAGAGAGAGTTCTTTGCTGGTCCTCAAACTCACAAAGATGCACTTGTCCAGCCTTGAAAATCTTGAAAAACAAAATAGTCTGAGCATGGTGGAACATGCCTTAAACACAGTGGCAAGTGAATCTCTGAGTTCTAAGCTAGCCTGGTCTACAAAGCAAGTTCCAGGCCAGCCAGAGCTACCCAAAGAAACCTTGTGTCAAAGAACAGAGCTGGGCAATGGTGGTGCATGCTTTTAAACTTAGAACTCAAGAGGCAGAGGCAGGTGAATCTCTGTGAATTTGAAGACAGCCTGGCCTACAGAGCAAGTTACAGGACACCAGAACTGTTACATAGCCAAAAACCAAACCAAAACAAAACAAAACAAAAATTACCAAAACAAACAGGGCAAAACAAATTGTAAGTACATTTTACATACTAAACCAATAAACATTTTCTCATATATTGTAAAAGTATTTTACTTAGGTTATTTGCTGCTTTCTTTCTTTCTTTCTTTATTTATTTATTTATTTGAGACAGGGTTTTTCTGTGGCTTTGGAGCTTGTCATGGAACTAGATCTTGTAGACCAGGATGCCTGGAATTCACAGAGTTCCACCTGCCTCTGCCTCCTGAGTGCTGGGACTAAAAGCATGTTCCACCACTGCTCGGCTTCTTTTGTTTTTAATTGAGGAAGACCCAGTAAAATGTTTGTTTGTACATAATGAAGTCACTCTGACACTTTTGATTCTTTTTATTTATGTATTTATTTTTGGCTTTTCAAGACAGGGTTTCTCTGTGTAGCCCTGGATGTCCTAGAACTAGCTCTGTAGACCAGGCCAACCTCAAACTCACAACGACCTGCCTGCCTCTGCCATTCAATTGATTCTTTTAATATATAAATACAGTTTTGCAGCCAGGTGGTGGTAGTGCATGGCTTTAATCTCAACACTTAGGAGGCAGAGGTAGGCAGATATCTGAGTTCCAAGCCAGCCTGGTCTACAGAATGAGTTCCAGAACCTCCAGGACTACACTGAGAAACCCTGTCTGGAATAACCTAAATAAATGAATAAATAAGTAAACATAACTTATTTGGTCCCTTTACTGTTACTTGTGAGTGTCATTTGTGTGTATATGATTTCAGGGCTGACCACTTGGTATTGGAGAACCAATTAGGGAGTTCACCCCTGGGGAAGAGTGTGTCTCCTGCCTTCAGCATTCCTTAGCTGCTTATGTCTATTCCTTAGTTGTTGTCTATGATGGGGTACTTTGAGATTCATGCTTTCCATGGTAGCATGTCTATTGATGTTGTATTTCTCTAGGTTTTGTTTAGGCAGCCATATTATTGAGGTGTCAGGGATGAAGCTTCCCTATTTGCTGGCATTACATTCCTGTGTTACCATGCCTAGGGGATGTTTTTCTTGTCAAATGATTTTTGCTTTTCCTCTTATAAGAGTCACATCATACAAAAATTCAGCTGGCTTTTCTTCTTATGCTACATGATTTTTTTTGTTTTTGTTTTTATTTATAGGCAGGTTCTCAGGTGGCTCAGGGGACATAGTTTAGAAGGCTTAATTTTATCTATACAACTATTTAAATAGCACATTTTCAACAAACTTGGTGCTGTAGTGAATGCCAGAAAATGATGTATTTCCAGATCATTTGCCTACACAAGGCATGCTCACTAACAATCAGTATGTACCAAATGTATCCAAGGCAGGCCATAGGCATCATGGTCAATGATGGGAGCAAAATACAAAATAACAGAATCTACCTGGCCTTTGAACAGACACCTTACAGAAGGAGATTGGAAGCATTGTGATTACACAGGGAAACCAAGAGAAGGTCCCAGAAAAATGACAGAGGGTCAGGGGATTGCAGAGGTGTTGATGGGAGAAGAGCTCAGACATTCAGGTCCTAAAGAACTTGTGAACTGTAGCAGCATCATTAGGCTTTTCTTCCCTCACCAGCACCTTCAAAACAAAACAAAACAAAAAGTGTGTGTGTGTGTGTGTGTGTGTGTGTGTGTGTGTGTGTGTGCAAGCCTGTGGTGCATACTTGGGCCACAGCATGGGTATACTGTTCAGAGGGCAACTTAGGGGAATTGGTTCTCTCTTTCTACCATATGGGTCCCAGGGATCCAACTCAAGGGGTCAGACTTTAGCACTGAGCCATCCTGCCAACTATACTTTTCCTTCCTGCCTTCCTTCCTTTTTTATTTTTGTTTTTCAAGACAGGGTTTCTCTGTATTGCTTTTGAGCCTGTCTTGGAACTAGCTCTATAGGCCAGGCTGAACTCAAACTCACAGAGATCCTCCTGCCTCTGCCTCCCAAGTGCTGGGATTAAAGGTGTGTGCCACCAACACCTGGCTTACTTTTTTTTTTATTATTTAAAAAGACTTTTACATTTTAAAATTAGATTTATTCATTTTTTATATGTTAATGTTACACCTCAATGTATGTATGTATGTTTGTGACCCCATATAGCTAGGTGCCCAAGGAGGTCAGAAGAGAGGATGTGATCCCCTGGAACTGGAGTTACAGATGGTTGTGAACTGCCAAAACTTGGGAATCTGCAAGAGCAAAGGTGCTCATAACCAGTGAGCTATCTTTCCAACCCCCCTCCATCACCTTTTTAAGAATCTGTTAACAGCTTAATATGGTGGTGTGTGCCTTGAATCCCAGGACTTTGTAGCAAAGCCAGGTGTTTAAAAAAACAAAAAACCAAAAACAAACAAATAAATATCCCCTTCTCCTCCCAGGGTTTCACTGTAGTCCTGGCTGCCCTGGAACATACTTTGTAGACCTCTGGCCTCAAACTCAAAGCTTTTTTCCTGTCTCTGCTTCCTGAGTGCTTGGATCAAAGGTGTGTGCCACCTGGTCTGATTTTTTTTTTAATTTAAATTTTATTATTTTTACTTTGTATGTATGGACGCTTTACCTGCATGAGTGTCTATGTGCCAGGTGCATGCCTAGTGCCTTCTGAGGACAGAAGAGGGTGTCACATCTTCCTGGGATCAAAATTACAGACAGTTGTTAGCTGCCATGTGGGTGCTGGAAATTGAACGTGGGTCCCCTGTAGGAGCAAGAAGCAAGTACTCTTACCCTTTGGGCCCTGAGGGTGATTTTTGAAATCCTTGGTGATGCTTGCAAATTTTTCTGGGGTTAAATGTGCCTCACAAAGAGGCCCTTCTTAGGAAGCGCCATCTTCGGAAGACTTTCTGCTGCATTCCACTCTCCCTCCCAGCAATGCTTATCTAATCGGCCCTCCTGGCCTTGGCTGCCTAGGAGGATCCTGTCCCTGGGTGGTGTACTGAGAACTAGACCTGGGCAGGCTTCCCAGTCTGCCCAAAGAGGAAACAAGCCCAGAGGACTAAACTAGATTAGGGCCTAGAAGCTCAGGGCTTCCTTTGGGGGATCAGGCAGGACACCTGTATCCTGGGACAGCTCTGTCAGTGCAATCAAGAGGCACAATTGAGCTATAGATGTAGTTCATTGGTAGAGCACAGGGGTTGGGATGCTGGAAGCCCAGGGTTCAATCCCCAGCACTTAAAAAAAAAGGACCAACCAACTAACAAGCAAGCAGGCAGTTGCTTCTGTTCGGTTGAGGGTTTAATAAGATTAACATTCATATATGACTTTGGGCGCTTTGTTTGACACAGTGTAGGCACTCATTAACTGGTAGTTGTGCCCTTTTGTGTGTCGAGGACTGAATCTGGGTCAACCTGTCATTGAGCTCAACTTTATCCCCAGTGGTTGCAGCTCTAATTTTAATTTAACAGGGATTTTATTTATTATTATTTTTTATGTAAACTTTATCATTTGGGCCTTCCACCAATTCAACCCCACTTTTGATCTGTGTATGAATATTTCCCATTAAGGGAGAAACTAAAAACGCTGCCAACTCAAGTGGTGCAATGTGTGGTTCTGCAGTACTCAGTTGCTTCCAACCCAGCCGGCTGTCCATTCCAGCTCGGCCAGAAGGCCGCAGGAGGTCCTCTCACCTCTGCAACCGGCCGCTCAGCGCCATCTTTGAACCTGGAGCCCATGCCCACTTCCTCACTTCGCTTTCTACCTCGAAGAGCTGTTCCAGTCTCAAACATAGCCTCTGGGAATAGAACAATCCCAAACCACTGCCTTATTGTTGTACTGGCTGATAAGAATCTTCATATTTTTCTTCGGGGCCTTAAGGACGACGCTGTAACCAGTTCAAAAAATGGCGCCTCCAGCCTCACTTCCTCTTTTCGAACTTCCGCTAAGGGAGGCAAACCCTGGATGTCAGGTCTCGTCTCAAGGCGCCGGCGCGAGAGGGCGGGCCGTCGCCATGGCAATGCACGAGTCGCCCAGGCCTTTTCGGCGGGCAGGAAGCGCCGGAGCTGCTACGCTGGCTGCTGGCGGGGCTGGCGGCGCCGAGCGGCCGGGGAGGCCCGCGCCTCTGCAGGATGAAACCCTGGGCGTGGCGTCCGTGCCCTCGCAGTGGAGGGGCGTCCAGGGAATTCGCGGGGAGACGGTGAGGGCGCTGCGCTTGGTGGCTCGGGCGGGAGGGTCGGGTCGCTGCGCAGTGTTTTCATAGAATTTTCACGCAAAAACTAACTCGAGGATGTATTCACATTAGACTAGCCCCAGTCTCTGAGGAGAAAAAAAACCAACAACAAAAACAAAACAAGGACAACAAAACTCTTAAGATTCCATGTAGTTTATTTTAAATGACATTTATGTAATTTATGTGAGTGTGTAGGGCATGCATGTGCCTTGGGCACCTGTGGAGGTCAGAGGATAACTTTACACAAATTAGTTCTTTCCTTCACCGCGTGGCTTCTGGGGATCCAATTCATGTTGTCAGGCTTGGCAAACTGCCTTTACCAGCCTATCCATCTCTTCAGCCTAGGAGCATGTTTTGAAGGATTTTTAGACAATTCAAACTGCCATGTTTTTTTTTTTTTGTTTGTTTTGTTTTTTGAAAGATTAGACTGCATCTTAAGGGTTAGCTGATAATTGGAGTGTAAAACCCTCTACCCTGGCTAGTGTATCTCCTGACTGCCGAAGGAGTTTTCCTGAACTTTTTATTGTATTTTATTTACTGAGTGAGAGAGTTTGTGTGGCATGAATGTGCCATTTGTGCTTAGTGGGAGTTGGTTGTTTCTTTCTACCATATGAGTCTTGTGGATGATGCTCAGGTGTCTAGGTTTGGCTGCAAGCACTTCTGCCTGCTTTATTAGCTGTGAGAATGTTGCAGGAGACAGAAGAAAGTGGCACCTTTTTTTCTAGGTATCTGTGATTTATGTCCAAAATTTAGAAGAGTTTGGATTGGCAGAAGAGTGGAAAGCCACACATGGTGGCACATACTTGTAATTCTGGCGCTTGGAAAGTGGAAGCAGGAGAATCAGAAGTTTAAGGTCACCCTGGGCTACATGCCACCTTGCCTCAAAAATGGCAAACAGGCTGGGGAGATGGCTCAGTAGTTATGAGTACTGGCTGCTTTCCCAGAGAATCTGGGTTTGTTCTCCAGAATCCACATTGTGACACACAGCCATCTGATACCCTCTTCCGTGGTCTGCAGGCACCAGGCACACATGTGGGGCACAACACATACATGTCAGGCAAAACATATATATATATATATATATATATATATATGTAACAACAATAACAACAGGAAAAGCTTTCTGCTCTTCCAGAAGATCCGACTTTGGTTTCCAGCACCGAGGCTGAGCCACTCTCAAATACCTGTAATGCAGCTTCTGGGTGCACCAGGCTTTCTTTTGGGTCACCAACCGGCTGCCAAATGAAGACACAGAGACTAAATACTGGCTTATGAGTGCCCTGCTCATGCTTGTCCCACTATCTCTTTTTGTCTTTGGTGTTTGTGTTTTTCAGACAGGGTTTCTCTCTTATAACTCAAATTAACCTGTTTCTGTTCATCTATGTTTTGCCTCGGGACTTCTTACCTTTCTTTTGTTTTGTATGTCCTACTCCATGTCTGCCTGGCTGGTGGCTGCCTGGCTGGCCCTGGGTATCTCTCTTCTCCCCTCCTCTCTCCTCATCTCCTTCCCTCCCTCCTCTCCTCTCCTCCTACTTATTCTCTCTGCCCACCAGTCCCACCTGTCTCTCTTCCCCTAACTATTGACCATTCAGCTTTCTATTAGACCAATCAGGTGCCTTAGGCAGGCAAAGCAACACATCTTTACATAGTTAAAGTAATATTCTGCAACACCAGAGAATCCAATACCCTCTCCTGAAGACATCAACACACATCTGGGAGACACCCAGAAGCATACGTACACACATAAACACAAATAAAATCTTTTGTTTGTTTGTTTGTTTTGTTTTGTTTTTCCAGACAGGATTTCTCTGTAGTTTTGGAGCTTGTCCTGGAACTTGCTCTTGTAGACCAGGCTGGTCTGAAACTCACAGAGACTCACCTGCCTCTGCCTCTTTAGTACTGGGATTAAAGGCATGCACCACCACTGACCAGCCAAATAAAGTCTTTTAAAAACAGTTGCACATACACAAGACAATAATTGGAGGGCTGGTGGGATGTTGCTAACAATAATTTGGAGGGCTGGTGGGGTGTTGCTCCTTGCTCCCTGGTACAGTGTTTGCCAAGCATGCAGAGGCTCTGGTTCAGTGAAGCACCGAGGCGTAATAATAACAAGCAAAAAGTAAACAAATGTTAGGAAGTTCTGGGGCTCAAAGCCAGTTCCTCTCTGGTTGGGCAAGCACTCCATCAGTAGCTATGTCCTCGGCCTAGAAAAACTAACTTGGAGATGGAGATGGATCTATGCTTAAGAGCATTTGCTGATCTTCAAGAAGACCCAAGTTGGTTCCTAGCACCCACATCAGGTGGTTTTCAACCATCTCTAACTCCAGCTTCAGGGGATCTGTCACCGTTTTCTGAACTCTGTGGGGACCTGTAACATACATGTACCCACTGACACACCATGCGCCCCCCCCCCCCTCTCTCTCTCGTGCGCGCGCACATAATTTAGAAACTTACTTTTGGAGAGATGACTCAGCAGTCAAGAGCATTTGCTGCTTGACCAGAGGACCCAGGTTCAGTTCCCAGCACCCACATGGCTACTCACAATCATCTGTAACTCCAGGGGATCCAGTGCTATATCCTGGAGTGCTAGGATTTAAGAACTTTAAAAGTTTCAGCCTTGCCTTTAAGTCGCCTGTTAAGATGTTTCCAGTCAGCCAGGTGGTGGCAGCATAAGCCTTTAGCAGGTGGATCTCTGAGTTGAAGCCAGCCTGGTCTGCAGCATGAGTTCCAGGAGATCCAGGGCTACACAGAGAAACCCTGTCTCAAAACAAGACAAACACAATAAGATGTTTCTTTCCCTCCTGTCCAGCAAGTCTGTGCTGTATTTTTTAAGTCTCTGGCAAATTCCTCTGGAGAAGTTGGACATGGGCACATGGTAATATGAGTCTGCATTTTAGCAGGGAACTAAAAAGAACACATTAATAATATGTTTACATTTATTTTTATTCTTTAAACATTTTTTAAATTTACTTTTTTTTGGAGACAGGGTTTCTCTGTGTTGCTTTGGAGCCTGTTCTGGAACTAACTAGCTCTGCAGACCAGGCTGGCCTCCAACTCACAGAGATCTGCCTGCCTTTGCCTCCTGAGTGAGTGCTGGGACTAACTTTGCCTCCCGAGTGAGTGCACCACCAACCCTCAAAGTATTTAATTTATTATGTATTCTGCTGGCATGTCTGCCTGCATGCTAGAAGAGGGCATATAGCCCTAGCTGGCCTGTAATTCACTTTTTGGCCCTGGCTGGCTTTGCCATCACAGGGATCCAGCTGCTGGTACTAAAGGTATCTGCCACCAGGACAGGCTTTTTTCTCAACATAGGCTGATGTGTTCACAGTAGGAAGGGTTTGATTTTGGGTTTGGTAGTGCAGACTCTGATTAGGCACTGGGCCTTGTAATTGTTCCCTAGTGGGGTGTGTTAGTGTCCTTGTGGAAGGAGCCATTGCTAATGTGAAAACACAATGCTACTCCCCTGGGGGGGGTGGGCGTTAGAGTTTGGGTACCAGTGCAGTTGGAGCCACTGGGCTGCCCTGGAGAGTTTAACATGAGCACATTGCCTGCAGCCTGCTGTGTTTCTGGACAGCATGTGTGGGGTTTGACATGGGAATCTGTGTTTATAGGTTGCAATGCTAAGCCATTAGTAGTTAACTACTCAGCTCTGTCTGCTGTCAGAGCACCAGAGGTTTGTCTTACCAGAATGTGGGGTGGTAGCTGGTGTCAATTCCATGGGGGGTGGAGTCAGGTATTCAGGGCCAGCCTTGGCTACCTAATGAGTTTTAGGTTAGCCTGGAGCTTTGTCTCAAAAAAATTATGAATAAAGAATAGTGATAAAATATATGTGTAAGGTGATGGTGGTATATGTCTTTAATCCCAGCACTCAGGAGGAAGAGGCAGGTGGATTTCTGTAAGTTTGAGGCCATCCTTCAAAGCTACATAGAGAAACCCTGTCTTGAAAAACCAAAATAACACAAAAACAAACAAACAAAAACTCCAAAATATACATGTAAACCATTCAGGTGCAGGCCAGCAGCTCCGTGATTTTTTCCTCCTCAGTGGACATGAGCTAGCTCCTTGAGGAAGGGAAGGGTTACCTCCTACAGGAACCCAGGAAGTTTGAGCTGAGCAATGTGTCTTCCCATCCCGTGGACTGTGGGTGGATTTCTCTTGCCTTCTCCTGCCCACATGAGTAAGCTTGTGGGGACTCTGCTTGATAGGCTGGGCTTTGCTTGTGTTTCATGGCACATGGCGCCCCCTGCTGGAGCCTGGGCCCTTAAGTAAATCCGAGGCACATCCCCTTGCTACAGCCTTCTTAGTACCTGGATGACAGGCATGCTACCATGTTTGGAGCTCCCCTCCCCACTGTGACACATTGTTACTCAAGCTGGTCTCAAACTTGACAGTCCTCCTGCCTCCACCTCCTGAGTGCTGGGATGACAGGTGTGTGACCCTTTTGTTTCTAGAGGAAAGCAGTGTGAAGACACAGACTAATAATCAGTAGTATCAGTGACCACAGACCTGCTCCAAGCCTGGCTAAGGAAGAGTGCTTAGTCTTTCAAGTAGCCATTTGCTGCAGAAGCACTCAGAGCGGGGTTTCATTGTGGTTTGGGTCACCTGGTAGAGTGTTTATCTAGTATGCAGGAAGCTGGGCGCTTAGTTCCCAACACTGAGTAGGCTGGGTGTGGGCACATGCATACCTGTAACCCCAGGTAAAAAATAGGATGCTAAGAAGTTCAAGGTCAGGTTGGGGAGTGGCACATGCCTTTAATTGTAGCACTTGAGAGGCAGAGGCCAGCCTGATCTTCAGAGTGAGTTCTAGGATAGACAGGACTGTTTCACAGTGAAACACTGTCTAGAAAAAAAAAAAAATAAACACCCACCCAAAAGTTCAAGGTCATCTTCAGTTATAGGTGAATTTGAAGTCGTCCTGGGGTACTTACGACCCTGGAAGTAGGGGAGGATGCTCAGTGCCCATAGAGGTCTCGTGTGTCCTAAACACTGGTTGAAATAGGTGGGTGCTTGCTGTACTGCTGTCATGTACGTAGAGTGTCTACTAAGTGCTAGCACAGGCCCAGGAAGGGAGTAGTCTTGGATGGTATGTGTGGACCATGGGGAAGCCAAGGGCTCCTTGGTGGGTTCTTCTTACACATTGTCCAGACCGGGTGAGTAGATGTGATCAGAAAAGAGGGTGGAGGGCCTGGGTGTGTGGCCCTGGGCTTCATCCCAGGACCACAAAAATAAGTAAACACAAACACCTATATACACACGTATTATCTTTTTTAATTTAAAAGTTTTTTCCATATAATACATTCTGATCATGGTTTCTCCTCTCAGATCTTCTCCATCCATATATATGCACATTCTTTCTTTTTCTTTGAAAACAAATAGGACTTTGAAAAATAAACTACAACAGAACAAAACAAACAGAAAAAAAAGAAAGCCAAGCCAAAAATATTTTACTTTGAGACAGGGTTTCTCTGTGTAGTCCTGGCTGTCCTGGAACTAGCTCAGTAGGACAGGCTGGCTTAGAACTCACCTGCCTCTGCCTCGGGGATTAAAGGTGTGTGCCACCAGTGCCCGGCACAAACACAAAAATATTTTAAAGCCTCATGCTTCCCAGGCTGGTTTTATACTTGCCATGTAGGCAAGGATGAACCTGTGATCCCCCTGCATCCACATTCCATGTGGTCGGATTGCAGGTGTGAGTCACTGTATTAGGGTTTCTGTTGCTGTGAAGAGAAACCATGGCCACTGTAACTCTTATGAAATCATTTAATTGAGGTGATGGCTTACAGTTTCAGAGGTTTAGTCCATTATCATGGCAGGAGCATGGTGGCTGGGAGTATGGGGGTGTTCAGGCAGGCATGGTACTGCAGAATTCTACATCTGATACAAAGGCAACAGGAAGTAAACTGCCTCACAGGGTATGGCTTGAGCATAAATGAGACCTCGAAGCCCTGCTCCACAGTGACCTAGTTCCTCAGGCCACCCCACTTAGTAGTGCCACTCCCTATGGGACCATCTCCTCTTTCTTTCTCTTTCTTTTTCTTTAAGATTTATTTTATGTGTATGAGTGCTCTATCTGCATGTATGCCTTTATACCAGAAGAGGGCGTTGGATCCCATTATAAATGGTTGTGAGTCAACATGTGGTTTCTGGGAATTGAACCCAGGACCTCTGGAAGAGCATCCTGTGCTCTTAACCACTGAGCCTTTCAAACCACCACAGTTTAGATTGTACCTTTCAGTGTCTTTTTCTTTTTCTTTTTCTTTCTTTTTTTTCCTTTCTTTCTTTTAGACAGGGTAGCCCTGGATGTCCTGGAACTTGCTATGCAGATCAGGCTGGCCTGGAACTCATAGCGATCCTTCTGCCTGAGCTTCTGTCTCCCAAGTCCTGGAACTAATGGTTTGCACCACCACACCAGCCTGACCACATATTTTCAACTAAAAGCTTTGTCTTTGTCCACTTGTGTTGATGTCATTGACTTCCTCGTCTTGCTCTAGGGTTATCATTGCTTGGCTTACCCATGATGGGTAAGACTGTGGGAGACTGTGGAGGAGCTGGTTTCCTTACAGTCTGCCTGCCCTGGGCTGCTTCCCTGAACCATCAGGACATTTACTTTGTCAAGCCAAGTTCCAGGATTGATCAGCTAGTGATAGTGATTCAGCCCAGAACTCCTTCAGAGTAAGGGCTCTCAACCTTTCTAGTGCTGTGACCCTGTAACACTTCCTCATGTGGTGACTCCGCCCATAAAATTATTTTTATTGCTACTCCATAACTGTAATTTTTCTACTGTTAGGAATTGTAATGTATATCTGGCATGCATCCCCAAAGGGGTCATGGCCCACAGGGTTAAAACCAGTTTTACAATGAGATGACTGGCCAGACAATCTTTTGTCCCCAGCCCGTGTTGGCTCAGTCTTGACGGTAAGTAGCAGATACCCACCCAGTGCATCTCATGGTGGACTCTTTGTAGTGTGTCCCAAGACCTCCACATGGCTCATGCAGCTGGTTCTTTGAGAGGCAGAGGTTGGAATCTACCACCATTATTATTATGTGGCCATGTGTGTGCATGGTTTTGTGTGTGTGTACATGCTCGAGTGTACATGTGTGGAAGCCAGAGTAGCTCATGACCACAGGGTTGCTTGGTTCCAACCTGTATCTGAGACTTTGCTTGGACCCCTTGGACTGGTTCCAGCAGCCTGCACGTGGGCTCCTGATTTCCCCCCATATTTCAGTCTGAAGGAGCTGGCCAGGGCTTCTCCATGTCTGTCAGAGCCAGACACCTTTGCACTGGAGTCTTCCATTTTTATTTGAACCCTCCCTTATATACCTGGTACCAAGTGTCCTGCATGTGGTATTTTCTGTTATCTGGCAGATAGTAGCAGGCCAGGGCTTCATAGGTGTGTGTTTACATATGCTCCCCAAACACCTTGTGAAGCGCTGGGCGTGCAGAAATGGTAAGATGGGACCTTGTGCTGGAGGGACATCTGTTTGCTAGCTAGGAGTTTTGGGTAAGTGTGAATTTGATAATACGGATAGCTGGCTGCCAGGGATGCCTGCCTGTCCTTGTCCCTTGTGGCTGGAAAGACATTGCACTGAGGTTCCAGGGCCTTGTCTGAAGAGTTTGTGTGCAGAGCTTGGTGGGGTGGCAGTGGTCTGGGCCTCATTCCCAAGAGCCGATTTTGGTAGACAAGATGATAAAGGTGGCTGCACTTCTGATTTGATGCCTATTCCTGTAGCATTGATGTAGGGATGGGGTCTACGCATAGGCAGTGGTTGCTTTTCTCACCACTGACTTGTCATGGGTACTGGTCTGAAAGAAAGGCACCTATTCTGGTTAGGGTCTTTTTGTTTTCTTTGGTTTGTTTTTGTTTATTTTGTCAACTTGACACAAGGTAGGGTCTGCAGTTGCTGAAATACCAGCATCACATTGGTTTGCAGGCTTTTGTCTGTGAGGGCCCAGCCGCTGTGGCTCTCTGAGCAAGCCAGGAAGCAGCAGCATTGTTCTGTGGCCTTTCCTTTAGTTCCTGTCTCCAGGTTCCTGCCTGAAGTCCTGCCCTGACTTCCTTTGATTGTGGTGGTTTGAATGCAATTGGCCTCCACAGTCTCATAGGGAGAGGCACTATTAGGTGTGGCTTTGCTGGGGTGCATGTGGCCTTGTTGGGGGAAGTGTGTCACTGTGGGGCGGGCTTTGAGGTTTGGATCCCATCCACTGTCAGTTGATTTTCTGTTGCCTACAAAATGTAGCACTCTCAGATCCAGTCCCATGTCTGCCTGTATTCTGTCATGCTCTGCCATGACAGTAATTGACTGAACCTCTGAACCTGTAAGCGAGCCCCCTCAATAGCGAGCCCCCTCAATTATGTCTTCTTTTTTTTGTTTTGTTTTTTTTTAAAGATTTATTTATTGTGTTTACAATGCTCTGCTTACATGGCTGCTTCAACACCAGAAGAGGGCACCAGACCCAATTACAGATGGCTGTGAGCCACCATGTGGTTGCTGGGAATTGAACTCAGGACCTTTGGAAGAGTAACCAGAGCTCTTAACCTCTGAGCCATCTCTCCAGCCCCCAATTATGTCTTCTTTGTAAGGGTTGCTGTGGTCATGGTTTTTCTTTATGGCAATAAAAACCCTAAGATTATGATAAGCTAAATCAACCCTCTTCTCCCCAAGTTGGTTTTGGTCAGAGTAGCAACAGAGAACAAACTAGGCCAGTTAGATCATGCTGGCTTCAAACTCACAGGATCAGTCTACCTCAACCTCCCTGCTGGGATTACAGGTGTAAACCAGCATATTCTGCTTGCAGTTTGTGCTCTTAACCACTGAGGCATCTTGCCAGGAAACAGCCCCCCCCCAACTGTTTTTTGTCTTTTTTTTGGTTATTTTTTAAATAATGTTGTGTGTGTTTGTGCAGATATTGTACAAGTCTGAGGACAACTTTGAGGAGTCTGTACTCTTGTTCCACCATGTGGGTTCTAGGAATTGAACCCAGGTCATTAGACTTGGCGGCAAGCACCTTTACCCACTGAGCCATTTCACTGACCCATGACCCTGGTTTCAATCTGCTTTTAGAAAAGTTGCCAGACAGCCAGCATTGCTACAGCAGAGGCATCTGCCCAAGCCAGGACACATGTGGATGCCCAGGTGCAGACAGAGGCTCCTGAGCCAGTGGCCCTGGTACCTGTTTCCCAGCCTGACACGCTCAGGCTTGCAGCCTTTCTCCGGAGGGTGGAGGCCATGGTCATCCGGGAGCTGAACAACAACTGGCAGAGCCATGCCTTTGATGGCTACGAGGTGAACTGGACAGAGCCGCAGCAGACGGTGAGGTCCTAGCTGCTGGCCAGGGGTGGAGGTGGGGGTGGGGGGATAGGGGTAGAGGGTGGGGGGCTGGGGGTTGTGCCTCTTCATTAGAACTTGCTTTGCTTTGTTCCACTCCAGTGGCAGTGGGGTCAGCAGCCTGTTTACCAGGTACAGAGGTGGAGCCAACTCACCCTGGGAGGTGACCCTTCAGGAGTGCCCATAATGAAAGCAAGTGGCAGAAGAGATAAAGGTTTTGCCTCCAAGGCAGCCTGCCACTAGCCTGGTACCACCCTAGGGAATGACCTGCTGTGGTCTCTCTTCTTGGGTCAACTGTATTACTGTTATCTTCTCTTCATAGATAGGCTTGGAGAAGTTGAGTGCCTTGCCTATGGCTGCACAACTCTGTGTTATCTGAGCTGGAACCTGAACCCTGGGCAGTGTTCTAAAGACACAGCATGTCTTGGCATTTCTGCTTTCTAGGCACAGTTTCAGACTGTCCTCTGTGGACCTGGGTGTGCAGCTGGATTGACAGCTAAAGTGTCAAGTGTGATTAAATGATGGGGGTTGGTCTTTTAGTTTTTGTTTCTTCATTTGGTTTGTTTTTATTTTTTGAGACAGGGTTTCTCTGTGTAGCCATGACTGTCCTGGAACTCACCCTGTAGACCAGGCTGGCTTTGAACTCATAGAGAGCCTCCTGCCTCTGCCTCCCAAGTACTGGGATTAAAGCTGTGTGCCACCACCACACAGCCTTGTTTTGTTTCTTGCTACAGTCACCCAAGGGCACCACCTGGCTCTATATATATGGTTTCTTTTAATTGTGTGTGTGTCTGCCTGTGGGTATGTGCAGGATGTCATCTCTTGGAATCAGAGTTATAGGCTCTTATAGGTTGCCTGATGTGGGTGCTGGATTAAACTCAGGTCCTCTGGAAGAGCAGTACATGTGCTTAACCTGTATCCATGGTGTGGACTGGCCAGCCTTGATTTTGGAGATTCCCCCTGCCTCTCCTTCTGGAGATATGCATCACCACAACCAGTGAGGGTTTGATTCTTAGTGTAAACTTTATAACTACAAGTGCCCAGGTGACAATGCGTGTAGGCTCACAATTTTCCTCAAGTACAGGAGTTCAGGGAAGCAGATCCCAGGTCAAGGACTGTATGTGACAGACCTGTGCCCTCCTCAGCAGTCTCCTTTCTTGGCCTTGTCCCTAACCATTTTCTTGAAGGCATCTATGCAATGGCTTATTCATGTGGACTTAGCCTTTCCATCCACAGCCACATGAGAGAACCTGATCTGCACTCACTGGCTTTCGTTCTTGGCTTTCCAAGGAAGGCTGCCTTGACACGAGTGTCCCGGCTTCTGGAGGCTATGCCTTACTTTACTTACTTATTTTTGACAGTTTAAGCAGAAATTTGTTTAGCAGAGCAAATGTTCCAAAGACCAGATTGGAATGGGCCACCCCAAGGTAGAGTGCCTTTTTATTAAAACAAAAAACAAAAGAACAACAGGGTCTCACTGTGTAGCTCTGGCTAGTCTGGAACTCACTATGTAGACCAGGCTGACCTCAAAGTTTTGGCACTCTGCCTCAGCCTCCTGAGGATTGGGATTGCAGGCATTCATCACCACACACACAGTGGGCCTGAGCTCCGTGGGTCTCTGTCTCTAGGAGTGGGTGCTGCTCTGTGGCCTTGGGGAGCCCACCAGCATTGCCACAGCCTTGCACATCAGTGGCAGTGGGCATGTGTTCCTGAAGACTTTGCAGGACTGGGCTCTTGCCTTGGGTCAGTCATGAGATCAGGGAGTATGGAGTTTACACCAGAATTTTGATTCTCTGCTGCTAGCCTACCCTCTCCCCCACCAACTGTTGGGACTGTGACCATCTCCTTTGCTGCTCCCAACGGTTGAGGAAAAGATTCCAAGTCAACAAGTCAAGATTCAAAAAACAAACAAACAAAACCAAAAAAGAAGCCTTGATTTGGGAGACAGGGAGTGGAGCCATGTGACAAAAAAAAATTAAAGACCCAGAGATTGATATTAGGGTTCAAACTTCGAGCCACAGGTCAGAAAAGCAAAGCAGCCAGTCATTAGCTTCTTACCTCTTACGTCAGGCTGAAAGGGCTGATCTTGCTGCCTCTCCTCAATGTGACTAGATATCCTGAGACTGAATGTCTTCCTCTCCTCAATGTGGCTGGAGAATGAATGCCTGATACTGACCTTGCTCCTGTCTTATATATCTCTCTAATGCTGGGATTAAAGGTGTGTGATCCCAGGTGCTGAGATCATCTTTGTTTGAGCTGTTTCTCTTTAGGACTGGATCAATCTTTTCTTTCTTTCTTTTTTGTTTTGTTTTGTTTTTTTGAGATGGGTTCCTCTGTAGCTTTTGAGACTGTCCTGGAACTTGCTCTGTAAACCAGGCTGGCTTCAAACTCACAGAGATCTACCTGCCTCTGCCTCCCAAGTGAGTTCTGGGACTAAAGGCATGCTCCACTGCTGCCCGGCAGGACTGGATCAATCTTATGTAGATCTAGGTGGCCTTGAACTCACAGAGATCCATCTACCTCTTAATCCTGAGTCCTAGGATTAAAGGTATGTGCCACCACCTCCTAGCTTCTGACTGCTGGGATTCTGGCTTCTATGGCTTGTGGCTGACTTTGCTTTCTAAATCCTCAGGCAAACTTTAATAACTCATAAACAATGTATCAATACATAGCCAGACATGTTGACCCACATCTGTAATCCCAGCTGAAGCAGGATTGCCATGAGTTTGAGGCTAGCCTGGGTTATATATTGAGACACTGTCTGAAAAACTTTCCTCTCTGCATAAAATTGGCATGCTAGCCTTTTATAGGTGTGTAGGCCAGTGGAGTTTAATGCAATCCCCCATGTGCAGCCATTACTACCTTCCAGCTTTTTGCTGCATGTGCCCTGAGACTCTAGCTTGTAGCCTGCATCAGGTATCTTCCAAAGCTCTGGAAACATCTTCACGGTGGCAGGTGGAAGCAGTCTATTTCTCTCTCTCTCTCTCTCTCTCTCTCTCTCTCTCTCTCTCTCTCTCTCTCTCTCTCTCTCTCTCTCTCTCTCTCTCTCTCTCTCTCTCTCTCTCTCTCTCTCTCTTTCTCTCTCTCTCTGTGTGTGTGTGCGTTTGTTAAGAAGCCAGCAGCTCAAGCTGGTCTAGAACTCATGCAATCCTCTTGCCTCAGCCTCCCAAGTACTGGGGTTATAGTGATGAGTCCCATTCCTAGAGTAGTTTACATTACATTTTACTCTGGGCTGATCAGTGGATGTGGGCAGTCTGTAGGCCTTGGGTTGGGTGTGATTTTCCTATGTTGCCCTGAGGCTACCTACTAGAGCAGTGGTTCTCAACCTTCCTAATACTGTGTCCCTTTAATGCAGTTCCTCATGTTGTGGGGACCCCATTTCCATTACTACTTCATAACTGTAATTTCTCTAGATACGACTCATAATGTAACTGTATGCCTTCTAGTGGTCTTAGGCAACCCCAGTGAAAGGGTCATTCAACCCCCAAAAAGGCTGTGACCCACATGTTGAGAACGACTTACTAGATGGATTTAGTGCTTAGGGTTAGGAATGGTCTGTTTCTGCAGGTGTCCTGTCTGCATACCCTGGTCTACCCCCCAGCCCAAGGGCAGGGTCTGCATGTGACTGGCATTTCCTGGAACGCCACGGGCTCTGTGCTGGCCTGTGCCTATGGTCGGTGAGTGACAGCTGGGGTGGGTGGGAAATAATGGAGATCCTAAGGCTTGTATGGACCTCTGTTTCATTAGCTTTAGGCTAAAGGGTTAGGTAAAGAGCAGAGGGAGGGCTGAGAGCCCATGCTTTTTACCTGGCAGAAAAGCAAGCCTTGGGTTCAAGTTGGCCACCAGCCATTACTCTGGTGTCTGTTGCTGGATACTCTGTGGTCCTCACCCACTAATGCATATATACACACTTCCTCCTTAACATAGGGCCTCACTTCCTCACTTTATAGCTCAGGATGGCAGGGTGGCTTTGGTCCCTCTCTCTCTTTTTTTTTCTTTTTTTTTTTTTGATTTTCGAGGTGGGGTTTTTCTGTATTACCTTGGAGCCTGTCCTGAAACTAGCTCTGTAGACCAGGCTGGCCTTGAATTCAGAGATCTGCCTGCATCTGCCTCCCAAGTGAGTGCTGGGACTAAAGGTGTGTGCCACCAATGCCCGGCTTGGTGTCTGTATCTTGTCTCAGCCTTCCGAGTGCTGGAATTACAAGTGTCCTCTGCTGTCAGTGGGCTATTGCCCAGCTCAAGGGCACAGTCTTCATGTGACTAGCATTTTCTTAACAGGGTGTACAGGCAGGGCACCTGCAGTGACATAATAACTGGCTTGGGAACTCTTTTCTAGAGCACATTGTGCCCTTTTGAGTACCATTGAGGAACCCGTGAATATACCTATAGTACAGTCTGGGTGTGTAGGGGACACAGGCTAAATTTTGTCAGGGTTAGCTGGGCAGAGATGGAGGAGGTAATGGGAGCCGAGGAAGACACTGAGGTGTGACCTCATGCAGGCTAGATGATGGGGACTGGAGCACGCTTAAGTCCTATGTGTGTACTTGGAACCTGGACCGCCGAGGCCTGAACCCCCAGCAGCCATCAGTAGTGGTGGAGGTGCCCAGTGCTGTCATGTGTCTGGCCTTTCATCCCACACAGCCCTCACACATTGCAGGTAAGTACCTAGCCACTTATCAGCCTCTTTCCCCAAATTTCTGCTTCCCATCCAGCTACAGGCAGCCAAGAAGCTTTTGGCTAGCCTGTCAGCTTCTGGCTTGGGCAGGTCAGTTGGGGGGGGGGTCAATGAAGTTTCCCTGGCCTCCTGCCTTGTCTGTAGCTGGGGGATAATGCGCCTGTGTGGACCTGTGAGGGGGTGTGGAGCTTGGAGGAGTCATTTGGAAGGGCCAGAGTCTAGCTGTGCAAGAGCAGAGTGGGAACAGCGGATGCAGAGGTGGGCTGCCCCCGGAGCTGACAGCAGATGTGCCTGCCGGAGGGGCAGGTTGCTGGGCATGGGCCTTAGTTTTCTGTGGGGAATAGTGGCTGATGTGTAGCAAGGAGGGAATGAGTTTGAGTCCTGGGAACCACGATTTCCCCCCTCAGGAACTCCTCAGAAGAGGCCTTTGTTCTGACTACATTGCATGGGGGGGGGGTTTGCTGGGTATAGCTGAGCTGATGCCCAGGTCTGGCTTTTCCGCATAGGGGGGCTGTATAGTGGTGAAGTGCTGGTGTGGGACATGAGCCGACCCGAGGACGCACTGCTTTGGCGCACAGGTCTGACTGATGACACCCACACAGACCCTGTGTATCAGGTCAGGAGGCTGATGGGGGCTAGCAGGAAGTCACTTCTACACCCTTGGAGGTGGTGTGATGGCAGCAGCTGCTTCAGGGAGTTGGTGTTGGACAGCTGCCTGGGCACAGGTTCCCCCAACCTCCTGGCTGGAGGAAGGACTTCAGAAGCCCCTGTCTCTGAAGTTTCCCCAGAATTCTTTACCCCTAAAAGGGACAGCTGGGGTGAGGCTGACATGGGAGGCTCCCCTCTATCCTGCCCTGTGCTTTGTCATCTCAGGTGCTGTGGTTGCCTGAACCCCGGCATAGCCACCGCTTTCAGGTGCTGAGTGCGGCCACTGATGGGAGGGTGCTGCTCTGGAGGGGCAGTAGCGCTGGGCAGCTGCGGCTCTGCAAGGGCTTTGCTCTAGCTGTGCACCAGCTGCCTCGGAGCACCAAACTGAAGAAGGTAAGGACATGGGCCCAAGGAAGCCGGGCTGTGGGAACCCATCTGTGCTCAGGATTTATAATCACTGTCACTTTTCCACAGCCACCCCGTGGAGAGACTGAGGTGGGGGTGACATCAGTGGCCTTCTCCAGCTTTGACTCCAGCATTTTTGTTCTGGGCACAGAAGGTGGCTTTCCCCTCAAGTGTTCCCTGGCAGCGGAGGAAGCTGCTCTCACTCGGATGCCCAGCTCTGTGCCCCTTAGGGCCCCAGTGCAGTTTACCTTCTCTCCCCATGGTGGCCCTGTGTACTCTGTGAGCTGTTCCCCCTTCCACAGGTAGGGTATCAGCCTGGGCTTGCTGCTCAGGCACAGGGAAGTCCGCATTGCCCCAACTTTTCAACACTGGCATTCTGATTTGGTGGTTGGTCCTGGGGCCTATCCCCTTTAAGGGCTCATCTCAGATGTGGAAGCTAAGGGAGTCTTCCATACAGACAGCCTAGGAAGTGCTGGTGGTAGCGCCATACAGGCTACCCTTTCTGCATTGTCTAGGAATCTCTTCCTGAGTGCTGGGACCGATGGCCATGTCCACCTATACTCCATGCTGCAGGCCCAGCCTCTGACCTCACTGCAGCTGTCTCACAAGTACCTGTTTGCTGTGCGCTGGTCCCCTGTGCGCCCCTTGGTTTTTGCTGCTGCTTCTGGGGAAGGTAGGAGGCAAGAGCCACACAGCCTTTTTCTAAGTGCAGGAGTCATGTGGTGACGATGGTTTTTATCCAGGCCACTGGTGCCCACCACAAGGCACACAGGGAAAAAAGTACATGCCACAGCCTCCCCCAGCTGTGGTTTTTATTTTCTGAACCTTTCTCCCTGCAGGTGATGTACAACTGTTTGACCTCCAGAAAAGCTCACAGAAACCCACTGTTTCCATAACACAAACCCAAGATGGAAGTCCTGTCTATTGTCTGGAGTTTAACAGCCAGCAAACTCAGCTCTTAGCTGCTGGTGACGCCAAGGGCATGGTGAAGGTGTGGCAGCTGAGTACAGCTTTCACAGAACAAGGGTCCAGGGAGGCAGAGGACTTGGACCAACTGGAAGCGGAAATAGCTACCTGAGGGCCACAAGGAGCAGCAGGGGCAGGGTGTCTCTCCAGGAAGGCTGTGTGCTAAGCTGGATAAAGAGGAGCAAAAGCTTTTAAGGGGAGAATTGAGTCCTTTATTTGTCTGTTACATGAAAACAATCTGGGGAGGAGGAAGAGAGAACAAGGAGGATGAACCAGCTGCTTTGATTTGAAGTGGGAATGAGGGCAGCTGGTTCAAATGGGTTTGGGTCCCACAGCAACATAGTGATTGTGATTGGACTGTAAGCAGTTTACTGAAGCACCGTTTTCTACGAAGTCTTACCCCAAGCTAAGCAGGCCTATGGTTACACTGGAAAGTAACACTGTCTGGAATATTTTCCTTGAAAGCACAGAGGAAGTGACATGCAGCAAGGTGACAGCAGGGCAAGCAGTATGGGTCAGGCTCACCTCTGAGCCAAGGATCAATTCACAAAGAGCGAGCGGGTGAACTCCACGTAGTCGAAAGCAGTGGGGAGTTCTCGGCCTTTGCCATCCACATAGGGCTTCATGTGGGAGACACAATAGTCGGCCTGTTCCCGGGTCAGGTTCTGGGGGAGAGGTGGTATGGTCAGCTCAACCATGACAAATGCCCAAGGGTAAGGAGTTGTTGGGCCAGGCTGGTCTGCCAGCAGACACAGGCTTCTGACTGTGTGGTGTGCCCTGTGGCTTCAGTTGTACTCAGGAGCTCTGGCCCTTCCCAAGGTCCTACCTGGTAGAGCTCCTCCTTGGTCACATAAGGCTTGCCCTCTGAGCTGAGGGCCCGGAAAGCACTCTCAATCTCCTCACTGGACTTGACATTCTCCGTTTCGCGGCTGATCATGAAAGCCATGTATTCTTGCAAAGAGACATGACCATCCCTATGGGAGGCAGGTACAATAAGCAAGGAGGGCAGAGGGAGGCTAAAATTCTGTCCATCATCCCTTCAGCTTACCTGTTGGGATCAACAGTGTCCAGGATTGCCTCAAACTCGGGGTCAGGTTCTCCTTCCTCTACCATTGGCAGGTCATAGCCCAGGGAACGAAGACAGGATTTGAATTCCTGATGGTTCAGCCGGCCAGACTTGTCCTTGTCAAAATGCCTGTAGTAGAGAGCCCAGGACTCTGCACATGGTTCCTGCCTCCCATCCACCCTCAGCCAAGATACCTGGGCCATACTCACTTGAACATCATGCTGAATTCCTTGAGTGCCTCCTCAGTCACTCCTGTTGTGTTCCTAGAAGAACAACAGAAGTAAGGAACAGGCCTTCTGTGCACAAGTGGCATGCTCTTCCCTCCTGCGCCAGGCCCTTGTTGACAGTTACACTCAGGGCTGGCCCCTGCTGGGTCCCTCACACTGGTGCAGACCCCTGGTACCTGGCCTGGATCTGCTGTTCCAAGTTGTGCTGCATGCGCATGCCCAGCTGGTCCAGCTGGTCCCACTGCTGAGCCAGGCCCACAGTGCTGTGCTCAGTGTACTTGTTGTCCAGGATGAGGGCTTCCTCCATGGCAGCACCCAGGTCCTCAATTTTCTTTAGCTGACTTCTCATGGCTCGAATCTCCTGGTGCTTGCGCTGCCAGGTAGGACAAAACAGTGTGAGACAGGACACTTCAGGCCCCAGAACCCAGGTGAGATCTCAGGGCCAAAAGAGTTAAGGAAAGGAAGAGTGGGAGGGGGTAAAGATCTTCATAAAAAAGACTGGCAGAGGTGCCAGTAAGGATGCAGTCTGTATCCAAGGGCCTCTTCAAATAGGGTTCAGTTTACAGCAGATAGTGGAGACTTTCTCTGAAGAAACCCCAGGCTGTTAAAGTCAGGGGGAAAATGGCCTGGGCAGCTTCAGGCTGAATGGTTGCTAGGCACTCACTTTGGTGGCTTCTAGCTGAGATTCCAGAGTTCCCGACTCTTCCACCATGCAGGACCTAGACACATAAGCACAGTGAGCAGGGCTGCAATGCAGACCAGTGCCCACATTTAACCCTGGTACAAAGTGCCCACAGCCTGTAATTCTTTTCACTGAGGAGACAACAACCCATTTGAGGTTGACTATCCCTTCTAACAGACTATCCCTGTTTCAGAGACACATGGGTCAGGGAATTCTCAGCTCTTAAAGGTCACTCAGGAACTAAATTTATTCCCCATAGGAACAAGCAGCTTCAGGCCTGACAGCCTCTTTTCTGCACCAACAGGAGGCCAAGAACCCAACAGTAAAAGTCCTTGGGGCTGTAAGGACGGTCAAGAGACAGTCAGTCAGTCCCCTTAGCTCTACTTTGGTCCCCTCCTTAGGCTATTAGGGGAGAAAAGCCACATTCTAAGAGACAGCATGGCCAGTAAGACAGCTAAGTGGATGTGTTGACAAACTGGTTCCAGCTGAGGATAGCTGCGATAGAACTCTAGATTTGGGTTCCAGCATCTAGACACAGCCAGCCTAAACCTTCTTTTGAAGGCTATTTCCTGAGGAGTCTGCTTCTCTCCAAGATGTAAGTGTGAGCACAAAGAAGGTTCCCAGTGAACAAAGACATCAAACGAGCAGGGTCACGTGCAGGGACAAGTTCACACAGTGCACACAGCCCCGCCTCCTCTGTACCCATAGCTACCCCAATCTACCCTTGTGATTTCAGTGAACCAGGAAGAACTGTAAAGTCATCCCAAGTTCAAAGTGCTTTAGCAAGGCAGGGCACCAGGCTTCCTCCTACCCCAGCAGTTGAGACTCACAGGCATGTCCCATCCCCCAGGAAAAGTGAGCCCCAGGAACTGGGGTAGGAGGCAGGGCCAAAGCATCAGAGGGGGACAGACCCTCCTCCCAAGTGGCTAGGGTGTGGGTTAGAAAGCAGAGCCGCCTGGGAGTCCAGAGTGCATTGGTAAAACCACAGTGAGGGAAGAAGAGAAATAAGAGGAGAAGAACCTTCCAGACAGATCATCCCCAACTTCATACTGATAGACACGAATGACCCGACGATATGCTATGCTATTCAAAGAAAAGAAACCAAGTGAATATACCAAAGGAAGGTGAGGCAAGAGCATATCGAGACAGACATGTGCCACAAGCTGGCAGCCTGGCATCAGGTGGGAACCATGGGCAGCTCAAGGGGCATTGGGGAAGGTGGGACAAGGCTTGGGAGGAGCCACAGGTGAGGAAGCATGGCACTGCACAGAAACAAGACCAAGAGCAGCAGATAGCATAGCGTGGGGAAGCCTGTGGTGCTCAGGCCAGATGCTGTAATCCTTCCCGCCTTGCAAAGCTTCTTACAACCTGACTGGATCGGGCAGATTTCTGTGGTCACTACCCTTACATGTCTGACTTATCCCTCTATAGAACCTCACCAGCTCTAGTTAAGCCTTAGTCTGGGAAGAACAGAAAGGGGCATGGCCTGGGTACAGGCACTTGCTGGGACTGGGAGATAGCCCTGCTCCTCCCAGGGACTCCTCCAAGCCCTGTCTCCACACCACATTGGACATTCTATCTTTTGCTAGGGGAACAATCCTGGTTACCCTCCCCAGGGGGAAGATAGGGCCACCTCAACCCTAAGGGGGCTGCAGAGCTTCCTTTCAACTAGACATCGGACTCACTCAGCTTAAGCTCCTAGCACAACCATCCGGCTTCACACGCCCACTGACTACTGGGGCTTAGTGCAAATCCTTTTGGTCACAACGGGAAAACAGACCAAAAGGGAAGCCTAATCTACTTTTCGTGAACAGGTGTGGGCAGGGGTTCTAAGCTTTACACTTCTGACTCTGGTTCCTCTCGACAGTTACATTCCCTGCCTTGAAAGAGGCAAAGTGACCACCCCCGAAGACCACGGGTTCTTCTAGCAGGGACAAAGGGCATGATGGACAAGGTGGGCAGGAGGCCCATCCTTGGATCCTTTGCAAGCCAGGCCACTGGGGACAAAGGGACACAGGAACAAGCACACAAGACGCCACCACACCATGAGCCCGGAGAAAGAAGGCAATATTAACCCGTCGAGGAGATACGTTCTGTGACGATCCAAGTAGCCAGGAACCATGGTAGTGTCCACAGAGAGCAGCAATCAGGACGGGATAGAGGAAAGAAAACGAACAGAGCATCAGTACCCTCTGCCACCTAGCCTGGGTCAGCTCAGTCACTGCCAGCTCTGACTGAGCCCCGAGCAGTTCTACCTCACTCCGGACAGCTGCCAACATCATCTTTATGTAAATGAATCACACAGAGCAACCCAATCAGATCATGCCAGCCTAATTAGTACAAGCAGTCTTTCCTCCTCCCATCTTTTGGGGTGAGACAAGATCTTGCTATAGCCTCAAATGGCGCAGAACATGTAAACCACACTAGACTCAAGCTCATGGCTATTCTCCTATGCACTCAGGTAACAGATGCCAACTGACTTAGGCACCATTTTTGTGATAGGGTTTTTCTCTGTGTGGCCCTGGCTGTCCTAGAACTCACTCTGTAGACCAGGCTGGCCTTGAACTCAAAGACTCAATTGCCCGCTTCCTGAGTCCTGGGATTAAAGGCTTGCACCACTGCCACCTGGCTTAGGTACTGGGTGTTAAGCTCCCTGTGTCCCAGAGCTGGAGGCTTGGAACCCAGCTGTAGGGAGCAGCCTGTTCTCTGGGTTGGCCCCACAAGGCAGGCACCTGGTCTCCTGGATCCACTGGTGGAAGGCGTTGGCATGCTGTGCAAATTCCTGGCGCAGCTTGTCATTCTCCTCCTGCCGCCGCTGCTCCTTTTGCAGCTCCAGTTCCCGCTCCTGAGACAAAAAAGGAAGGAAGGTGCTGCTACCTTCTGTTGTTCCTGACATCTGGTCTCACATGGGCTCGCATAAACATGGCTCTACCCTGGGGAAATGGCAGTGGGACTTGAAAGTGAGAGGGGCAGAAGTTCTACTGAAGATGATCCACCAAGCAACAGCCTGAAGGCAGGGAGTATGGGTTGAGTGGCTTGCTCAGTCAGGTGCACCTTAATGATCTTCTGCAGGTTCCTCCAGGTCTCCTCCAGGGCCTCCATGGTGAACCAGGTGTAGGGGTTGGAGGCCACACGGAAACTCTTGATCTGGCGGTCCAGCTCAGCTAGCTGGTTAAAGTCAGCCTGTGCAGAGCTGAGGGATGAGCGGAAGGCATCATGA